ATAATGAAATAAACTTCTCGGGCACACCCTTCAGGGAAAGGCAGCGCCAGAGTTTAGAGCGGTCGACTGAGTCGAAAGCCGCTTCAGGTCGAAGAAGATGGAAATGGTAGGTCTACGAAAAGAGTGTTTGTGTTCTAGGATTTGACGAAGAGTAAAGATGTGGTCGATAAAACCTCGGCTAGGTCTAAAACCAGCCTGGTTCTCACGGGTGCACTCTTCACGAGCGGTAGATAATCGGCGGAGTTTGATCCCGGCGAGAAGTTCAGAGGCAATGTTAATTAAACTAATTCCCCTGTGGATTTCTCAAGAGGATCTGTCGCCTTTCGTGTAAATCGGTAAATCGGATCACCGATTCACAACATTCAGTTGGAACCTCTTTCCTTTTCCCACACAACCCAGGAGTTTTGTTAACTCCAAACCCAAGGCTAGATCTCCATCTTTAAAAACCAATTGGGACAGCTCGTCGGGGCCGAACGCCTTATACCTTTTGAGATAGCTTATTTCTCGGGTGACCTCTATTTCAGATGGAGAACTGATGTCAACGGGCAGTATTTGCACAGCTGAATCGGGTGCAGGGTGTAGGTCTTGTGCTGACGAGGACCAGAGTATACAAACGGATAAGTTTAAATTTATCTTGTGCTTCGCGTGTTTTACATGTTCTTTGGAGGAAGCCAAAGTTAGCCGTGGTGTGGTATTCCATGCTACGATCGTGATCAACCGTATGATTTCTCGGTAGCGCTCGCATATCTCTTATTACCTGTGCACTAGAGCGCCTCAGTGCTGCCACGCCCCCATTGATGGTCGGTGCTATCCATTCGGTCTATAGTGCTTATCGGGGTGAATATCTTTCGTGTGTTCTCTTTCAAGAGTATAATTGCCATATGCCTGTCGAGTTGCAACTACCCGATGCACTGAAGTATTTATTTCGAACTGAGTCATGGCTATCGATCAGAATGAAGATTATTAGAATGGTGAAAGATGATTCACGGGTTTTGGACGGACGGCGGGTAGGGTTGTCGATCGGAGGGTTCGCGATTCAGATCACGACAGGAAAATAAATACGGTACACACACTGCTGATGATGAGTTTCAATACGGAATACACGGTTATCTATAGGGCTCGTTGTTGGGTATCAATTAGAAAATCCGATTGTATTTCAAATGCACTAAATTGACGGAAATCAATGAACCCCACGGGGAGTGAGACCACACAGAAATCCTGAGGTCCCGGAATTGATAGTGGGGAATAGAACTATTGCCGCTTAGAATGTGTCTGTTTGAGATGGGGCGTTAAACATTAAATGAATTCGAATACTCTCGGATGCAGTAGCACATCGATGCCATTGTTGTACGGTGAGACATCAATAGAGAAATTCGGAAAGTTGACACCAGGCGGATTATGAATAATAACCATGGGGAATGACCATAAATTATTGACACGTCACCCCCCCCCAACCCACCTGCATCACTATCAAAACCTACCGTATACATAATACACTTGTAATAAACTGAACAAGATGAATCGATTCAGTTCCAGATTATCCGTCATGAGAAACGGATAGCCAGGAACTGTGCCTCCACCGGGAACCCCAGTCCCCGTGGCACCTGACATATCGGCCATGGCGACACCGGCAGAACCCATGTCAGATCCCATTGGATTTGTACAAGATTGATGTGTTCCACCGGCTGCTGCTGCCGACCGAGCAGCTGCGCCGGAAACGTTTCGCGGTGCACACTGAACAGACTGTGGTCCCGTGCCGGTTGCACCGAGCACCGATCCGGTTCCGAGGGCTGCACCGCCACCCAAGAACGATGAGGCAGATTGGGAGGCCTGAGCAAGCAACGCTGGGGAGATGGCCAAACACAGACCGTAAATCACACAGTCCGGAGCCTGGATGCTGCGACTCAGCTTGCAAATGATCCATTCCAGGCTAGTAACACGAGACAGACAGAGAGAGAGAGAGACAGCAAGAGAAAGAAAACATCAAGTGGCACTCCAGAACACGGAGCCGGCGTGTGCAGAAAAGTAAACAAACACTTGACCCCAAAGATAACTAGTGGGGGGAAGAGAAACAAGGAAACTTATAACACAGTGTTAAATGTCGTTTTAATGTGCGCTAACAACAATCTCTACTGAATGGTTCATGAGAATACGCCCATTTGATTACACGTCTAAAACGAATCTGCAAGTGTCATGCCACAGTTTCAAATCATGGAATTGTGACGTGATGCGGCAAGGCAAAGCTAATACCACAGTGGTAGCGAGTTACACAGACGGGGTAATGCTGGCATCAATATCTTGCATCGAATTCCCAAGATTCTTCGCAGTACATCCACGAAACCGACTCATCGTCTCGCAGAAGATAGTCATATAAAAGTAGGACAGTGTTGAACACACGCAGTCCGAAACGTGCAGCATCGCTTTGATGGTCTGATAACAATCTATACTCAACTGGTTAAGGATGTTATGTACCTTCGAAAAACCGAGAATAAATAACCTATTATTACCGACCCCCTGATAAATGTTCTCATGTGGTGCATCTCTTAAATTGTACGCTGAAAGGTCCCATCCAACTCTTTCTCCTGATATTCACTTCAATTATAAGGCCGAAACCAACATTCAGGACTATAGTGAGGAGGAGGCAGGTAGCTCAATTAAGGGACCTGATAAACTATTGCTTTAGTCTTGACCAAAAGAGGTATACAAACTAACTTCAGGACATTCTGTCCCCGATAATAACCGGTTCGATTGAATGATAGGGAGTACGAGCATCTTGGATGTGCAGAACACATTTGAAGAGCTTCCGATCCGGCACCAGTTCCCAATCGAGAGCGATTTTCGCGCACGCTCTCTTGTGGAGTTGGACTGGCGAACCAACTACCCTGGCAGTTAAGAAAATCAAGCACTTTGGTTTGAACAACCTGTCAGTACTGTGCCATGAAGAAATCACGCGTTGATTTCCTTTTCATTCGGATTCTTGCGTCACGGTTTGCGTGAAACATACAGTCCGAACCCAGACAAGTGTGAAATTGCAGAACAAGATTGAACGAGAGATGAACTATGCAAATAATTCAAACATTTTTTGCATTATATACACTCAGTGGTCAAACAAAAGACAATCACTTCGTCAGTGAGAAAGTTGTGAACGATTAGTCATTAGTCAAGCCCATTCATGTGCTCGCCCACATCCCCTCATTATTCTCTGGAGCAAAGGTATGCACAGTTGTACTCACTTGTAAAACAACTCCATTGGCACTTCGAACGGACTACGTGCGAACTTTCCGTCACGTCCTAAATTCCCATCGTCTGTGGATGTTTGCACCACACTGATGGCAGACCAAGCGGACCAGACTCGCAACAAATTGACCAGTGAAATCAGGGTTTGCAACCGAACCTCGGGTAGAAGCGTATCGGCTAAACGATGTCCAATAATATCTAACAATGTGGCCAGTACATTACAAGTTGCCAACGCTGAACCGGAATTGACTGCGGAAGTTGAATTTGCATTGGATTCGGTTGACTGAGCGGATGACTGTGTGGTCGGATTATCAGGTTCACCAGCGGACCACACTGGTTGCAGTTTGGGTAGCAGAGCTGGAATAGCACGAACGAAGAACAATTTGGAATAGTTAAACAAAAGCGGAAAGGGAGGCTAATGGCACAAGATAACAGCAGAATGACAAAAAATGATTTACCGAGGACTGAATGAGTGTGACCAGTGAAGTCCAACGAGTGTGTAATTATGGTAATCCAGAGCGTACAATAACAGTGTGGCAAACCAGTGAAAAGTCTTGTGAGCATTTTAGAGCTATTCTATCTGAATTGTTAGGAATCGTCAACGAAGCATATAGATTCCCATCGTACACCAAA